CAGCAAGCATGCATATAAGTTTCTGCATATTTTGCAAACAGATAAATTAAACACTTTCAGCAGGATGATCTATCTAATAAGTTTTCTGATCAGATACAGAAGCAGACACATTATATCAGTATGTATCTTGAATCCTTGAATCCGTGTCGGGTCCTCCAAAAATGCATTATTTTTGGAGGACCCGCCACATACTCGACAGCATTTTTGGAGGAACCGAGCAAATATTCATCATACACATGAAGAACAAAATTTTAATGCAAATAGACTTTAAACATAGAAAACAATCAATTACAACAACAACAACAACGACCCAGTATAATCCCACAAGTGGGGTCTGGGGAGGGTAATATGTACGCAGACCTTACCCCTACCCCGAAGGGTAGAGAGGCTGTTTCCAGGAGACCCTCGGCTCAAAAAAGCAACAGGAGCCGATATATTAGTACCATAAAAATGCATAATAAAATAACAGCAATATAAGAGATATGAAATACAGAATACGAAATACGAAATAGATGGCTGGTATAGTAAAACTAGCAGGTAAAGCCCTGCATTAATAGACGACCAATGACATTCTTAGTCTAACTCCTAACTGGCTAGTCTCACTCTATTGTGCTGTAGAAATATTCACAACTTTCCCTAACCTACAACCTTAATGCTCGACCTCCATAATTCCCTGTCAAGGGTCATGTCCTCAGTAATATTAAGTCGCGTCATGTCCTGTCTGATCACCTCTCCCCAATCAATTATTCATCATAATTCGTTATCAGTTAGAGTCGGCTATATACATATTTTATATCCATGTTGTGAAGAGATATAATAGTTACTCCTATCTTTTTAGTTCGTTCCAAAAAGAAGAACATCTTTCTATAGTTGAAAACTGAATAACATTAAACTTCCTAATCAATCCATAATTGCATGCTCTTAAAAAGCCATGCATGACATGTTTAATTCCACAAGTTTTTTTTTCCTCGAGCTCGTGCCAAATCAAATATTAAAAGGCAGCCTGGTGCACTAAGCTCTCGCTATTCGCGGGGTCCGGGGAAGAGCCGGACCACAAGGGTCTATTATATGCAGTCTTACTCTGCATTTCTGCAAGAGGCTGTTTTCATGGCTCGAACTCGCGAACCTGCTGGTCACACGGCATCAACTTTACCAGTTACGTCAAGGCTTCCCGTATGCTAAATCAAATATTGTCATATAAAAATGTGAAAATATATACGTACTGAAGCGCTTAGGAGCAGGACACTTATATCCATCATTAAGAAGCTTAATTGTCCGAGGCATTGGAGTTGCTTTTGGCGAAACACCAAATTGCGTCCCCTTAATCTTCACTTGCGCCGCCATCTGAGTAAAATCTCCGGCGGTATCAATCGCCGTCTTCAAATCCGACTGCGGAAAACCTGCCAATACTGTGCCGTTTTTCCCAACTTTGATCGGAAATCCGTCGCCTTCAACCGCTACAGCTCCATCAGTTGACACTAAAAGCTCGTTATGTTGAAACCCTACGTGAACTTTCCATGATTTCAGCTCGTAAAGTCCAGTATTAATCACTGTTAACATGGAGTTAAATGCCCATGCTTGTGCTGATACGTTTTTAACGAACGGGTATTCACGTTCGCGGCTGTCGAATGTATATGAAACGAATATGCCGTCGCAGTTCTCTTGCTCCGGCGGTGGCGCAGCCGGTACCGACGACTCGTCGCCGCCGTAGTCTTGAGCTTTAGATATTTGAATGTTATAACATAACAATATTAGTGTAAAGCAAGAGATGGCAGCAGCATTTTTCCATGGTATTTTCATTCCTTCACTTCTTACGATCATTTGAAGGAATTAATAATGTTTTTTGGTCTTTTTTTTTTTTTTAAGGAAATGGACAATGTTGGTTGTTTTTGTTTTTGTTTTTGTTGTTGTTGTTGTTAAGATGTATCGTTGTTCAAATTTTTGGCTTTCATGCAAAGAAAGTAGATGAGGAGGAGGAGGGAGGCGGCAGAGGAAGAGGAAGGACGATTTGTTGATGCCGCGTGAAAACGCACACGGCAATCATCAATCAACTACGTCTCAATTCCAAATTAGTTAATTAATGTTGATTATCAAAAAATAATGAACGATGTAGGAGTAAGAGAAACCATGCATCAGACAGTTAAAACGGTCTTGTAGTAATAATAAACAGAAAATTATAAGACTTGTTCAACTTCAATGCTCTTCCTCTAGTTTTCCCCGATTCTTAAGGAGGACACACTGAATTTTAAGATTCTATTTTTACCAAATGAACCTTTTTTTTATTTATGGTTAAAATGAAGATAAGCTAATGTCTAGAATATGCCAGCCACTGGCTGTTGTGTCATCCATTGCAATTTCCATTTTTGCCCCTCTGTTTTTACCCTTTTTAAGGAGTAGAAATGACCCTAGGTAGTCATTCTAAAGGGCTACTATTTAAGAATTAACCGGTACAACCTGAATTGTATTTTTTCGGTTCAAATTTTTGGGACAAAAAAATGTACTGAATTGTCCTGAAGTTAGAATATTTAGTTTAAAATTTCAGGACAAAAATAAGTACTGATTAATCTCTAAATAGCATCATGTGGGGTCCAGCCCTTGAATTATGGAAGAATTCTCTTCCTTTGTTAACTTTTGTCAAATATGGCTGCTAAGCAGCACCACGTTCGATTTCTTTGTCAAATTAAGCAGTCTGCAGAACCTGTAATATCAAATGAGGTAGGCTGTATTCTGCTTATAAAATGAGAGCTTCGGCTCTCATTTTTATCATCATCAATCTCAGAGGAAAATATATTTGAGAGCTAGAAAGAAAGAGTGAGGTTTCACAGACAGGATATAAGAAAATAGTCTGTGAAGAAAATAGAGAGTATGAGCGATATTGTAGTGAGGTGAAATATCAAAAAAGGGTTATTTCTTTTGAGTATTGTAGTGGTCTTTGTAGTATTTTACTCGGGCCTACAAAGTGTAAATTCCTTACTATAGTGTATCAGTTGCTCCTCTCGGGATCGTGGTTTTTCCCTTATTCAGAAGGGTTTTCCACGTAAAAATCTTGGTGTCATTGTTACTCTTTTATTCTTGTTAATTACCGTATCTCGGTGCTACATTATTATTCCGCTTTTATTACCGTGAATATTATTTTGGTAGGGGGTTTATTCCCAACACATCCCTGAGAATGGCTATCCGTTCACTTACCCCTTTTTAGGACTAAAGGCAAAATGAAAAATAATGATGTATTAACTTAAATAGTTGTCCATACCGCTAAAACTAAAAATAACGGATGGATTTATATTTAATTAATATATATAATAAGTATGTGTATAACTATGTATAATCAACGCATAATCGTCGACTTTGTATAAAAATCCCAAAATATACTATGAAACACATTTTTGGCATAATTAAATTCTTGTTGACAGAGGAGTTAGATTGCAAATTTAGTTTAGTTGACATGACAAATTGTCAATTTCAGTGACGGTGTTATTTCAAAAACTCTAATATTGTTATTTAAGGGCCAAAGAGCAAGAGAAAAATACTAAAGCAACTTGCAGCCCCTCTTTCGTCCAATGGTTTCATAAAACATGCAGAAAAGGTCTTACTAAAATATCCAGCATGAACTAAAGAATGCATTAACGACAGTCCGTATTCATGTTTGTTTAGAGAGTTGCAGGTTATGTTAGGTTTCCGATTAGACATTAGGTCTGCCTATTCAAGCAATCAGACATTATTGTTTATGTTGACTCATGACTGGCAAATTCTTGCCCCTCTGCAGATGCAGGTTCTACATTTCCAAATTTACAGCATAAGAAGTTCAGTGGTTTTCTTTGGTTTCCTTTGACTCAACCATCGGATATTTGACACTCACCAACCCATTCACGCTAGATAGGCTCATTAAGGGGGTAAAAGCCAACTTCTAATTAAAGGTGGAAAAATCTCAGTCATCCCATCGCACCCCTTAGTAATAAGCTCGGTGGTCCTCAGCTCAAGAGGGTTGATATAATTCTGTAACCACTCGAACATACATTTTCAATTTCCTTCTAAAGTTTTTGGAAATCGGGGAGAAACTCCTCGTATCCAAAGAAATCCACACACTATGAGCGGCCATTTCCTCAGGTCAAAGAATGAGTAAGTATCAAGCCCGGTTCTTGAAAACCACTATTATTTGTCAATATGCAACCAAAAACAATAAATTCAATAAACTCGAAATGTATCAGCAAAATAAGAACTCTTCATGTAATGCCTTTGGTTTCTACAGTAGTCTAATTGGACAAAATCCAGATGAATAAGTCCTGCTGCCTATAAGAGTTATCAGTAAACCTTCAACATGGTACTGACAGCTAAGGGGATTTTCAGGCAAGGCAAAGCTAATCGACCTGATGAATGAGTAAGTGAGAGACAAAGCAGTCTCAGAATGTAAGCGATAAAACAACATATTTCGTACCCACCTAAAAGGGCCGGGTCTATAAAACTGTAGACATAGTTCCATTACATTTTTGTTTGCTACTATAGGACAAATTGTTCTTCAAAACTTTGCCAGCCTGGGAGGAGATTGCCAAATAAGTCCTTTCAGTAAAACTAATTATCTACTTATATACATCCATAGGAGTAGCCCCAGCAATATACTCGCAATCAGGAGGTTATCCACCATGAATGACAAAGCTTTCTCAGCAGCAAATTTTCAGGAAGTGTCTTGGAATCCTCAAGTTCGGAGTTTATTAACCACCATTTACCTGGAATTGAAGAGACAGAAAAGGGAGAAAGGAAGGAGAATGAAATGCATCTGAATTAGGGTAAAGCATGTCAATTTTTTAACATTAGACTTCCACAGAAGTACACGTACAAGTTCATGAAGACGTACTCACATTAAGATAAGGCAACAGTGGCCTCCTCGATGCTGCCTATATCCTCAACCAATTCTACTTTTGGTTCCAAGTCTATGAATTGATTAGACTTGCTAGCTAGGTGTGAGATACTGACCCTACCTTCACGTCTAATATAGTCAGCCACAGCTTTCATTTCTTCTAGGGAGATGTATATGTATTTCCCTCTATCATCCATGACACCAGAGAGTCGCCCTGATGAAATCACATCAAAATAGTATATTGTTTAGCAAACACAGGAGGAACAAGAATTCATTGCTTATTAAAAGGACAACAAAATCCAATCAAAACTTTAAGAGATGGAAAGGAGAATACCCATTTCTTCCAGAGAGTTGATCCGATTGATACACTCCTGCATAAAGAAATATGCAGTAATGGGCAGCACGAGGGTAATTTGAGAATAGTATATAGCTATATATATAATGAAAAAATAATATATCCCTATTCATGTGTAGGAAGATGAGCAACTTTACTCAAAAATTCACTAAGCAAAAGAAGAACATAAACTAGCTTCCTTGGATCTTCCTTTTTAGAGGACCAAATTGACAAGCAATATTCTACGGAGGAAAAAAAGGCAATATGGTGACCCGTGACCAGCATCCGAAATTGGTAAAATGACAAAGGTGCTTACCTGAGTTCTTAGCTTGAATTCTGCAGCAAGATCCTCCAATGGCACACATTTGTGTTTCTGCAAGGTATATGGAAAGATTTGACCTACTCATGTCAATAATTTTCACCAAACTGCAAACTATGTATTCTGAAACTTGTTTCAGATAAACTCCCTAGCCATATATTGAAAATACAAGCTTAAGTAGATTTTGACTAATATAAAAAAGTTCCAGTGCAAAATAGAGAAAAAATGTACTTATCAAGAAAGAAAAATCCCACCACATCCAGAAGGCAAAAGATAAAGAAGAGGAACAATGTTAATATAGTATATGAATCTTTAGTTTGTCACTAGTCAACTGGCATGAATTATAATTACCTTAATGTATTCGACAAAATCAAAAAGCAGACCCTGGCTTCCATCTTGTATCTCATTTTCAGTTGTTCCTTCAGCATCAACTGAAATTTCACCTTTCCATTTCTCAAACTCTAAAGCAGCAGCTTCTTCCTCTTTGGCCTGTCGAGCCTTGGCTTCTTCTTCCTACACAGATTATTCAATTCTCTCAAAAGGATACTGCAACACATCAAGTTACTCCACACAGTCAGATACTCACCAGTGCACGCTCTTTAGCTTCACGCTCCTCCTCTTTTCTCCTTCTGATTTCGTCATAGCGACTTTGCTTTGTTTGTTTCGATTCCCGAGAAGCTTCTTCAGCCTATATAGCCAATGAGAAGAATCATAACCAACATCGATTTTCAATTTCTAAAAATTGCAAGAGGCAATAGAAATCCACATTTCTCAGAAGAAACCGGTGTTGTTTCAACAGCCTTATTCAGTTCCGAGTTTAAAAGACTAGCCATGTGCAGTATAACTTAAGATGGTATTCATAACTCTTGGAGGGAGACTTCATACTAAGGTGACACACTGCAAAATGAGTTAACCCATGCCATTCTTTTGCTGTTCATCAGCAAGATGTGATTTCCCTCCAACCATAAGTGAAAGGCAAGCAACCAGGTGCAGACTGAACTTTTAACCATCACATAAATTGAATGACACCAAAAAGATTCAGTTACATTTATCAATTAAGTATACTACTGTTCCATTTCCATCTTTTTTTAAACCATTTATAATTTCTAACTATTCTTCATAGTTGCATCAAGGACCTGCCTAACTTGAGTTCATAATATGCTTTATGTTTTGTTGGAACCTTTGCACTCTTTCTTTTTCTCTTTAAAAACTGAGAAATCCTCGAGGATCAGTGGTGCACAAATCGAGTTAAAAATAGACAGATAACAAGCCCGCCCCTCTATCCTTCTCTAATTTACCGGGCTTTTGTCTGTGGCAGAGTTTGAACCTATGACATACGCCTAATTCACACATCATTTGTGGCGCTCATACCACTAGACCGAAGCCCTAGGGGCAATTCTAACACTCTTTCTTTTTCTATGACTTTGGGAGGAAAGGTTTATTTTCGGTTTTACTTATAGATTCAGGCAGAATCCTGAAGCATAGTAAGTAACAACCGATCAAGATGCTATCATTGGCTAAAGATGTTCAACATACAATGTTGTAGCTAGCAATAGTTATAATGAAAAAGAACTCAAATCCTAGGTTTCCTGGCTCTCTTTAACGAAGAAACTAGCTAAAATCAAAAGAGAATTCTGAAATTAATTTTGAATTATTAAAAGTAAAAGGTCCTCCGACAATCAGGGACAAACACATAATGATTGACAAACTATATAAGAAAAAAAGAATAAGAAACTAAATCTTAATATAACTTCAGAATCAATCAGTCGCTTGTTCCTTCATTGCCCAGTTGCAGCAGATATTTGGAATGTCAGAGAAGCCCTTGTGAGCTGGAGTTCATGGAAAGTTGGGAAGTCCATCAAAAGGATCTGGACTTCCATTCCTGCTTGTATTTTGTGGTGCATATGGCAGAAAGGAAGCAAAGATGCTTTGATTGCATTTCAACTGCCAACCATACTCTCAAGGCCAGATGTTTGCTCAATCTTTTTAGTTGGGTTAACCTAACCCCTGTATTAAGTCTGGACTCTTTTATGGAATTTATCAGCTCCTTAGCTGTATGATAGGTTTTTTTGTCATTTAGGGGCTGATAAATTCTCTCTTATGTAATCTATGCATCTTCTTGATGCTTTTGGTAATAATATTCCCACTTCAGTTCAGTTAAAAAAATCCTAATATAACTAAATTGTTTTGCAGGCCTATTATAGCAAAATAGGGTGCTAGATGAACATTACTATTTTACCCCCTCTATTCCTATGTGAACTCTCCTTGGGTCAAACAAAATTTGTCCCAAGTTTTGGTTTTCCATGATTATTAGGTGTCTATAATTCAATACAGCCTCAATTAAGAAAATAAACTAGAGAAAAACTAAAGTTTGATAAGCATAGAAATGTATTTAAACACTTGTATGCTCATACTATACATTGCTGACATATTTCTGATAATAGCTAATCCCATTGTTTGGACATTTTTTATTTTTCTGTCCCATGCTTAATCTATGTTGCAATAATTACAATCACCACACCCCCGCAAAGCGCAGCATAGGAATCACAAGCATCAAGCTTGTTACTAACAAATTGTACTTGTTAAGACCATAAGAATTTTGCTATATAATAAGGTTCAGAACGAATAACTTGCAAGGATAAAAGGTAAATGCTTAAAAGTTTGAGGTACCTGTCTTTGTGATTCCCGCTCTTGACGTTTCTTTTCCTTTTTCTTTGATGATTTTGCAGTATAATATCCATCTCCAGCAGCTTCATCATCACTGTCATCACCCAGTTCTGCGGATATTTGAAAAATAAATAAAAACATGAAATCAGTCACCAAGTAGCATCAATTCGATCAAGTGCACCTAAAGCATGGGCGCAGCAGTTACGGGACAATAATCAGGAAGAACTAGGCTACCAAAAAGTCACTCGGAGATATACATCTTTGTGACAAAGAAAAGTAACATTACTCATGTCCTTGTCCACGAATGGTAACCCTTTACTTCTCGTTAGATTCAATAACTTTACATAGGAAGTTGCCACAATTAAGATGAAGATAAAGCAACAAACTTAAAGCCAATCCAATAAGCCATATCTATTTAGGCTCAAGTTTAATGATTGGAAGAAACTTCTACTGTAGTCTTGTCTTGCATATTCTACTTTGAAAAAGGGGCTCAAAGGTAAGAAACAGTGGCCTATTTCTTTTTACCCTTCAACTCGAAAGTTGAAACCAAGATGAGCATGATAATTACTAGAAAAACATCACATAGAAAAAGTGATACTTTATCCTTAGATTTTAACAGCATAAACAAGCTAAACAGATATGGAAAAAATATATAAATAGACATACCAGAAGAAAATTAATCAAATAGTTCCAATAAAGCAAGAGATCTAGTAGAATACCATCTGTAGTGGCTGCAGCCGAAGATGTGCTAGCAGCTGAAGAAGCTGGTCTTCGACGCATTCGACGCGTACCAGTGGCTCTTATTACAGCTTCCCTCTGCTCAACCTGATATTTAACCAGTAATAATTTCAGTTCTTGCTAAATTTACAACATGTGTTAATTTCTTATTTCTCCAAATTCAGTGATGCTTGAACAACACTGAGGCACCTTTTACAAGTTCCTCCTGTAGTGTCGCCTTAATGAATGTATTATGCTGACATCTAAATGTCTATTAGTCCCTCCGTTCCGTCCCGATTTATGTGACACTATTTCCTCATTTCAGGACATCCCAAGATGTTCGACATAATTCCATCTCTTTACGACTTTCACACTTTCAACAATCAAAAACTGTTCAAATTTCAAACATGATGTGATATTTTCTTTATCAAACTAACTTATAACCATTAATCTAATATTTTCTCCTGCTGTCATTAATATATTCAGATTAACATCTTAAACTCATATCCAGTCAAATACTTTTATATGAAATGGGACAAGGACAATTGATTATCTGCTTATACCAAAATTTTAATCCTAACATCAGTTCATAATCTTCTCAAACCCCGACGACAGTGTCATACCCACCTGCAGATCACTCTTTAGCTAGGAAGGTCAAAGAATCAATCCCCTTTCCCCATTGCTTTGTGCCAGAGAACGTACAAGTATAATCTTCTTAAATCCCAGAGTGTGTAATAGAAGACAAGCAGCAAGAAACTATCAACCAAATGGAAAAGCAAGTCAACCTGAGCTTCATCTTCATGTTCTCGGGAAGACTCATAATTTTGGTGGCGCCTCCACAGATAAAGTGGAACTAATGCTAAAATCAGAAGCATCGACAGAATCGCTACCAACATGTCCTCCATTTTTCAATACTTAGCGCAGTATCCTGTCTGATAATGCAATACACAAGGCATGATAAGTGAGCTACGAGAAAAAACATGTCCTCCACTGAGTTTAAGTTTTATGCACACAGTGTAAAGAATTTTTACACTGTCAGGCCACTTAAAAGTTAATTGTAAGTAACTCCGTTTAATTATAAGTTCTATGCACTGACGGTATAAAAAAAATATTTACACCATCAGGACAGTTAAAAGGCAACAGCAGGTAATTCTCTATACAAACATTAATTGGTAACCTTCGGAAAATGGAAGCAATCTTACACAATAGGTGAAAAATACACACATAGTGTAGAAAAAAATCATTACACTGTCAGAGCATTTAACTTAAAACTCTTAATAATCAATGATTAGCAACCAATAATAAATGGTACTATGTAACATGATATGACATGTTAAGTTCCACTTACACTGTCAGCGTATATATTCCTTAAAATAGACCAGAAAAACTCGACATTACACGGTTAGGTTACACTGATTTGGATATAAGGCGGTGTTTCAGATCAGTTGACTTCACATGATTGAATTTTGAATGATTAGAAATTGAATTCAACCAAATTGAGCAAATTAACTTGTCAAACTTACAACGAAGACTAAAAATTAGATTTCAACCTATTTACGATGAAGGCAAAGTACTGTGACCGAATTACAGTCCGTATTCCACACGTTAAACGTGATTAACAATTGGATTAGGGTTTTGTAGGAAGAACAATGGGAAATCGGATGTAGGAGAGAGAGAGAGGAGAGGGAACCTACCTGAGAATGGGATTGCCGGCGGTCGCCGGAGAAAGAGAAAAAAGAAATTCTCGAGACGATCGTCCGACGGTTCGATGGACGTGGATGAAACAGAAATTGGGGGGCCAAAATAATGAATAAAAGGGAATTGCACCGTTAGTGATATATCCCGTCTATTTACTTTTAAGTCACTATTTAAAGGCTAAATGGCTTTATGACCACTTAAACTTGTACGAGATTTTAAAGCTGATATTTAAACTTTGAATTTTTCTATTTTAATACCTCAACTCAATCAATTGAGTATAAATAAACTCGCGTGTAATTCAATTGTCTGAAAGAAGAACACGTCAAATATTAAGACCATTTATTATTTTACATGTGTCATCTGTGGGTCCCTTTTAAAGCTAATTTATTAAAATTTCTCTTCTTATTTTACTTCTTTTACTATTTCTTCTACACATTTTAGCACTGTCATCGGAAAAAAATCACAGCCATCACTTGACTGACTCAATCAGCCATGAACTTCCATAAAATTCATTTCATCTGTCACTTCTAACAAAATTCACAAAATCCATACCCAAGTCAAAGAGTCGATGAGCCACCTACTAAAATTCCGTCAATGCAACAAAAGAGCCGGCGAAGCTATGTCAAAAAAAGATACGAATGGTGAAATCAGAAAGAGAGAAGAAGTCGGATTGCATAAGTAGAATTTTTCAACCAAAATTCGTCAATTTTCCGATAGTCTTTCTCTTTTCTCTTGCGATCATCCAATTTGAGATCGATACAAAAAGGGGAGAGGAGTTAATGTGAAAGAAAGGATTGACAAATTTTTTTGACAAAATCTATTATTTTTCTTTGTTTTTCACTATTACTGGACTTTGGAACAAAAAGAGGGAAAAAACGGGGAAAAATTGGAGTGGGGGAGAAAGAAAAGAAAAGGGGAGGTGGGGGAGGTGCAGACGTCAATGGGAAAGGGAAAAGAAACAAAAAGGGGTCAGGGGGAATAAGGGTATTACTTATTTTAAATGGGGGCTTATTTTTTTCTTTTTCATTTGTAATTTTTTTTCTTCTGATTTTACATTTTTTTAATCAAAATTATCGTAGTCACGCGCTTAGTTTACGTGACTTACACACACTTTGTCCACATCATCTCTATCACTCCCACATGTGCATGATCAACGGTCAAATAGATTTATTACTTACCAAATATGTAAGTTTGAGTATTCAAAAGGGAACGATGTAAGTTCGTGTATCGGCTTTACAAATGAAAGTAAGTTTAAGTGGTCACGAGGCCATTTCACCTTGTTTAAACTTAAAATGTCTTTAGTCTTTAGTCACAGCTTTAATAAATTTTAACTGTCCGGACAAAAATACCCTTCTACTCATGTCTTTAATTTTTGAACTTAACTTCAGAACTTCAAAACTATATGTCCTTAACTTTTGAACTTGGAACTCTAAGTTCAGTACTTTAGGACTACATGTCCTTAAATGTTTAACTTAACTTCAGGACTTCAGGACTACATGTCCTCAACTTTTGAACTTGTAACTGTAAGTTCAGGACCTATTGTCCTTAACTTTTGAGCTTGTTAGTCTAAGTTCAGAACTTCAGGACCTATTGTCCACTTTTGAACTTGTAACTGTAAGTTAAGGACCTATTGTCCTTAACTTTTGTGCTTCTTAGCCTAAGTTCAGGACTTATTGTCCTTAACTTTTGAGCTTGTAAGTGTAAGTTCAGGACCTATTGTCCTTAACTTTTGAGCTTGTTAGTCTAAGTTCAAGACCAAGTGTCCTTAACTTTTGAACTTGTAATTCTAAGTGTGAGCACGTGATTTTTGCCTCATACGAATTACTCTAAAATAATTCCCAAAATTAGCTCTTGTCTTTAATTATGTGTTATTTTAGGAATTATTGTGTGATTTTCCTGATTGTTTGCATATATTTGTGTGCATGTTTAATTTTATTAATGCATTAAAAATACAAAAATATAGCATTTGCATTTAAGATTTGATTTTTTACATTTTTTGAATTAATTAATAATTAGGTGTTTTACAAAAATGAAAATTCAAAAAATAATAACATATTTTGTATTTTTGGTCAAATTGTGTGATTTTCTTTTAATTTAGTGTTTAAGCTAATTTAGGTCTTTTATAATTTAATTAGGATTCTGATTCCAAATTTTTGAAAGAAAAAGGAAGAAAAGAAAAGGAAAAGAATTAAATAAAAGAGAATAAGAAATCCATTTGGGGCCACATTTAATTAAAAATTCCAGGCCCAAGTCGTTTTACCCCAGTCCAACCCAAAATCGGTCCCCAGCAGAGTCGTCAGAGCTGTCACACCTCCTTTTTTACTACACCCCGTAAAGGGGTATATGAGGAGTTTTTCCAATTAAAAGACAATCGAAACGGGATTACTTACATTAAATTCAGAGTCGCCAGTTGGGATAATTTATGGTGTCCCGAGTCACCGATTGGGATAATTTATCGTGTATTTTTAGCTTTTATAATAGCTTTTAGCTTAATTATTTATAATTATAGAATTGTCTTGAAACGAATCACGTGTTCGTATATTTGTTTTATTTTTACATGTAAGGAATCATGTCACGCGTACGTGTACATAATTAATAACACTTTGTTTATTAAGAAAGTTTAGCCGAAGTTACGCGAACGTATACTCTGATTTATGTTTAAAGAAATCGTAATCGGGGGTGTAGTAAAAAAGGAGGTGTGACACTAAGTTCAGGACTAAGTGTCCTTAACTTTTGAACTTGAAACTCGAAGTTCAGGACCAAATGTCCTTAACTTTTGAACTTCTAACTGTAAGTTCAGGATACATAACGTAGCAAAAAATCAAACGTTATTTGTATCTTTTCACAAAAAAAAAAAAATAATTGCAATTTACATATAAGATTAAGGTCAAATTACACAACAAAAAGCAATAACAAAAAGAAATAACTAAAAAATAAAAGACTACAGAACCTAACCAACCAAAAGAAAAATAACAGCTTCTTAGATCACATTCTTAGTCCCTTTTTTAAAAAAATGGATATCACGGCTTAGAATGTGATCTTAGAAGTATTATTGGTCACTAATTTTAGAAGTATTATTAAAAAAAGGATTAAGATAGTGATCACTATGATCCGATTCATCGTGTTCTGACTGCAGAGTGTGCGACAAGATGTGAGTTTGTATTATTGGTTACTAGTTTTCCTTCCGAAACAGTTCTTCTCCCTAACATGAAAGAGATAGAAGAAAGGATAACACAGTCTTTTCATATTAATTTAAATAGACTAGTGACTACTATTGCTAAGCATTAAAAATGTTGGATAAAAAGTAAATACCACTTTAAAAAGTGGCTACCCCACACAATTTTTACTGAATAAGAACTCGGGTACAATTTGAAGTCCATTTTGTATCACAGTGTGTTGGGCTCTCTCCTTCTTTATATTTTTAGTCGCTTCCAAAACTAATAGCCGACAAAATATATGTTTTTCGTATATATAAGTATTTTACGCGTATAATATATATTCTATACACTTTTTTGCTAAAAAATATATTTAATTTTGACTAACCAACCAGTTTTGTATTTTACCCTTCTTCTTTTTTTCTAAAGGTTATTGTTTCCAAATTACATTTGTTTATATAGTTTAATCCCCTCACTTGTTAATATATAATTTTTATTTCACATTCTATTCCGTATTAAAAAAATTCTCCATAACTTAATACTGTTGGTATTATTTATAATGCAAAGTTAAAAATTTCTTTTTGAAAATCCATTTACAACCAATAGCCATTAGTCTTTTTATTTTTCAATCTATTTCCAAGTGGCTTCTTGCATGAAGCCTTAAAGCCAAGTGTTGAATGACTTTGACAAGTGGCTATGCAAAATCTACCATGTGTCTTCATGCATGGAAGACTAGGTACATTTGTCAAATGGACTAATATATTTGGACAAATGTTAAAAGACTCTCCACACTTGTCAAACATGCAACTTCCCTAATTGCCTATAAATAAGATGATCATTAGCCATCACATTCACTCAATTCTTAACCAAGAATTTATCTTGCTAATCATTACTTTCTTCCTACAACATTTTAATTTCTGTAACAATTACAGAAAAAACCTTCATCTTCTCTTCTTCTTGGCAACTATTTTGTGCAAATTCTAAACTTCTATCCATGAGTGCACGTGTTTGGAGGTGCTGTGGAACCTTGGGGAGCGACCGATCTTAACGATATGCATCCAGTCGGGCCGAAATCGCTTTCAAAGCAGTGGCTTGCCATGATACAGTATTTTTGATAAGTTGTTCTTCTTTTCTTCTTGTTCTTAGTCAGTATTATCTATTCCTTTTTCCTACAATTTGAAAGTGATTTTACATATAATGTTGACTAATGGCCACCACTTTGAATAAAACACTTCCTGATCTCTCAAAGCTTGAGCCTCTAGATGGAAACAATTATAAGGCGTTGGTCCCAGAAACTTTTAATTTCTTTGAACAATTAGAAGTTGATTATGTTTTGTTTAATGATCCTTCTGCTGATGTTGTTGCTAATAGTTCTAATATTGCTAATATTGTTGTTGTTGTTGATGCTACTAAGAAGAAATTTGAAAAGGATAATAAAACAGTAAGAGGGAATCTGTTTAATTATATGACTAACCCTCTCTTTGATCTGCTAAAGTCATATGGGACAGTTTGGAGAAGAAATATGGTGCTGATAACGCTGGAAAAAAGAAGTATGTCGTTGGAAAGTGGGTCATGTTTCAGATGGTTGATGATAAGTCAATCATGGAACAGGTTCACGAGTATGAGAACTTGACTGCTGATGTTTTGAACGAGGGCATGGAGATGTGTGAGATTCTTCAGGCTAATGTTCTGCTTGAAAAGTCTCCACCTGGAGTGATTACAGGAATCAACTAAAACATAAAAAGAAAACTTAACTCTTCAAGAATTGATCGGTCACATGAGGACTGAGGAGCAAACCGTTTCAAAGATGAGGTGTCTGAACGGCTTAAAGATAAGATGAAATCTCTCTCTCTCAATTCTTCTAAAGCTAACTTTGTGGAATTTTCTAGTACTTTTGTGAAAGACAAGTTTAAAGGAAAACAGAAGAAATGTCAGAAGAAAGGACAAGTGAAGAAGCAAAATTACTTCAATAAG